AAATGCCCTTCCTTCTTTGTGAACCAAGGGCTGCTTTTGTACATTTTATCTTGGGTTTTATTTCCTCTTCTCCAAGTGGCCATTTTGAACAACAGGATCCCATGTAGAGCACATGGTGACACTTGAAAGCCTTAATTTGAAAACCAATTACATTCTCAGGCATCTGTCAGACCAGTGGAAAACCTCTACATCCACTAGGACTGACAAAATAGATGAAGATGAAATTGCTTCTGGTTTAAACTTTATTTTCTCCATGAGATTTAGAGCCTTTCCTTGTGCTCCTTGGGGTGGTGCTCTGCATCCCACAGACTTTTTCCAATGGACTGGAGAAATCATTTTCCCTTTGTGTGGTGTCTTGTTGTTCTCATGGCAGTTTTTGACCTGTGCTGGATGTCACAAGGCCAAAGTGCTCAGCAGATGTCAAATATGAGGATCTGGTTATGATCATCATTAAAACCAATCTGCAGGCAAAGCACCAGGAACTGCTAATTGGACAACTGAAGAAACACCCAATGGCTCCAGAGTTTCTGAATCTTTGAGCTCTGCTGCCCTGTGCAAATAAAACAGCCTAAATTCTGCAAAAAATGTCATTAAAACTGATAAATAGGATTATGAGAACATTTATTCTTTGTGCCACCTGTGCCAGTCTTCAACACAGCACAACTTTTGTATTTTTTAGTCTGAAATGTTGATATGATCTCATAGAACAAGATCAGATTAATGGATCAGCTTCCCTCTCAGTGTTAGCCAAGCAGAGACTGCTTATTCTTTTATGTACTTCAGAAAATGGACATAAATTTTCCATTTTCTGAAGTTGAAAACACTTCTTGAGACCAGACATGAGAAAGTATTTCTGCTTTCTGCAGTATGTGAGCACAGACCTCTCTGAAAATAAGTGACTTGCTTGGGATCACACAGAAAATCAATATTGCTGAGGAAAAACCATTGAATTTCTTTCATCTCAAGTCCTATTTTGACTACTGTGCTTCCTCTCTCCTCATCACTATTACAACTAATAAGTGTTTATGTCTGATGCAGTGTGAACCATGCTTAGGTCAGAGAAGCTGCTGCCTCTGTGTGCAATCCATCATGCAAAGTCATTTCCCCTGAGATAAACACTGAAATAATGGGGGGAAAATAGATAAAGTGAGCAAAAAAAGCCAGCCAGCTGACAAAAATGGGGGTTTTGACTGATAGCTGGGAGAGGGTGAGACTGCTCTGACCTAAACACTCCAAACAACAAACAAATAATTAAAAAGTAACTAAACAAAGATAAATGTCCTGGTTGCTCTGTGTCAAATTCCACATGTCCCAGACCCACCCTCTGCAGTGACTCAGGCTCTGCCTAACTTTGCTCAACCAGTGGCTTCCAGAACAAAACATAACAAGGACTATTATGCATAAGAATCCTTATAAAAATAAGGATTTAATTGCTGTAATTGCTTAAGCAATGAGTTGTCAAGTGCTCAGTGCAGACTGCAATGCAGGAGAACTGGAGAAATCCAATTAACAGGTGAATAGTGGCTGGGAACCTCAGTTCCTCTTCCCAAACCAGGACAGGAGCTCTTTATGGTGCATCCATAGGATTGGAATTGATTTGATTATTTATTGAGCTTGTGGGGACATCCACAGTGAATTTCCTTGCAACAGTTCTGAACTCTGAGGAGAGGGAGGGCAGGGATCAGGTGGAAATAGGCTGGGAGGAAAAGGTTCAGGCTCTTTTATGACAAGGCACATCCTACAGCACAGATGAACTGAGCAGGCACTCCCTGGACATCTGGAAATTTGGCAAATTTTCCTCACCACTTGGCCCAAAAGGTGTGGGAGTCCCACAAAAGCACCTTCACACTCCAGCCAGAGCATCCTCTCTTAATTAAGGTTAAACCCAAGAGTGTCACAGCTGAAATGCCACAGATAACTGTGGCATAACTCTACAAACCTGGCACTGGAAAGGACTTTGTAGATCAGCCTCAGTTTCTCCTGAGGATCCTGGTCCCAGAAGGATTCTCATTCCAGAGGCAAAGGCAGTGGCTGCTCCCTGACCCCACTGCCTGCTCTGGCAGCTGGACAGAGCCTCTCTGGGCTGGAACTGCAGCCACCAGGTCACTGCACAGCTGACAGGTAAAAATAGGTGCCTGGAGATAACAAGGCACCACATCTTATTATCAATTCCCTGGGAAAGCCAACATCCCTCTCTCTTTCCTCTCCAAAGGATGCTTTATTATAATTACATATCACTTTATTAGGCAGCTGAAGCAAAGAGCACATTTGATGCTAATGAAGTGCTGCTGTGGTTGAGGCTGTCACTATTTTTGGAGCTGAACATCTCCAGCACTTTTCATTGGGTGATGGAGCTTTGGATGTCTCTGGCTTCTTCTGTGGGGGCTGCCCAGGAAAAAGCAGTGACTCAGCGAGCCCAGCTGCAGAACTGTTCACATGGCATGGGAAATGCTGGGGACAGCCAGAACACACACAAAGGCTCTTTATGTGCTGCAAGTTGTGCTCAGGTAGGGGCCAGCATTATCTGGATTTAAAAAACATCCCTCTGTGCTGGTCACCTGCACAGGCCTCGTTTTTCCTGTTTTCCATCCCTCACCCTGCAGCTTTTCAAAGAAGGCAGATTGCACAGAACTCGGGGAAAATATTTGGGAGGTTGGAGACAGACACATCACAGCTGATCACTGGCTGCCTCTCCTTTTGGAATATGAAGGGTTTGTCATCTCCATTTCCTGCAGCAAAGCCTGAGGAGCTGCTTGGCCTCAGGAAGGCAGGATTTGGTGTTCCAGTTTCTCCTGCTCCCACATCCCTTGGTGTGACACTGGCATCCAGCTGGGCCAGTGACTCAGCTCAGCCATTGACAGGAGCAGATTCCTCCCTCCCTTCCTCCCCACCTGGCGGGGTGTGTTACTGTCACCACCTCATCACACAGGTGACAGGAACAGGGAATGGCAGCACTGCTCCAGACCAGCATCTCCTGATAACAACTCCCATTTCCAAGTCACTTCCTGACAGCACACTGGCAGCCAAAGCCTCCCCTCCCAGCAAACAAGGTTAATGGCTCCAGGTGTCTTCTGATCCACAAAGCAGGAATGTGTCAGAGCAACCAGGAATTCCAGAGGACACCATTGATCTCCACACCCGCTGGTTTTGGGGCTATTTTGTTACTGCAACTTCCCCATTCTCAGAGGGAAGGGATTTTGTTACTGCAACTTCTCTCCCAGAGGGAAGGGAATGACTGGAGCATTAACATGTCCTGCAGTTTTCCCTCAAGAGCACAAGGGTGTGACTGAATTTACAGTATCACCTGCTCATACAAACTCTTCTCATTCTCCTTGCTAGATGGGGGCTTTCCCCATTTTGTTGTTCCCACACACATTTTTTTAATTTAAGTGAACTTTCTAAGCATATTTGGTTAAGGATTTTCTTAGACCCACCTTAGGAGTAGCAGAGAAATGTGTAAAACCCTTCTGTATCTTTTTAGAGCTGATTTATATCAACAGGCCATTTCCACAATTGCAGGAGAAACTCCCTTTAACTTAAAAACCTGTGAGTAATCCCATTATCCAGCAAAGCACACACAAGAGATGTAACCAATAACAGACAAAATTCCAGTGTCAGGGAAAATAAAGAACTCAGGGTAGAACACAGCACAGAGCAAGAGACTCCTCCCAGCCAGGCCAGGAGCTGTGCAGGGGACACAGCCAGCTCACTGCCTCCCTCTGCTGAGCCTCGGTGATACTTCAGAGAATTCCAGGCTGCTTTGGCTTGGAAGGGACCTTACAGCTCATCCTGTCCCAACACTGCCACTTCCACCACCCCAGGATGCTCCAAGCCCCATCCAAACTGACCCTGAACACCTCCAGGGATCCAGGGGCAGCCACAGGGATCCTCTGGGCACCTGTGCCAGGGCCTCAGCACCCTCCCAGGGTACAATTCCTTCCCAGTATCCCATCTAACCCTGCCTCTGGCAGAGGGAAGCCATTCCCTGTGTCCTGTCACTCCAGGCCTTGTCCCAAGCGCCTTTCCAGATCTCCTGGAGCCTCTCTGGACACTGCAAAGGGCTTTAAGGTCTCCCTGGAGCATTCCCTTCTCCAGGCTGACATCCCTCAGCTCTCCCAGCCTGGTTAGCTACAGGAAGATGGTGGGAGTGCCCAGTGCTGTCACTTGACACATTTAACACCCACCAGCACCAGACTGCAGCCCCCTGATGCAAACCAGGCACTCCACAAGTGTCCAAGTTCTGCCACTGCCTCTGGAGCCCTCCAAGCCCAATTCCTCTTTCCCACTAAACATGGCTTCCACCTCAGGGAGGGCTGTACTGCTCTCTTCCCCATCCTGCTTTCATGGAGCCTGGATGAATTTGTTGAAATCTCTATTTCTCATCAAGTCTAACCCTGTTGGCTACCTCGGCTCAGAAGTGCTGGGCAGACAGATGGTGCAGTTACATAAACCTGGATTCCTGCAGAGGTCTGGCTAAGGAAGAGTTCCAGAGTGCCAGACGTGGTGAACTGTACATCCCTGCTTTGTGTAAGAGCATTGATTTCTGCTGAGTTCAACACAGCACTAACCTTCTCCACTCTCAGACACTTCTATTCTGCAAAACTGTGGAGAACTCCCAGCATTTCCACTTCAAAATCAAAGCACAGCTCCTGGAATACCTCTAAGAAGTTATTTACTAGCTGAAGTTCAGCACAGACATATTTTCTCTCTGATTTTATCCTGCACTGTGTCCAGCATTAGCTGCTATTCCCAAAGCAAAATGTGTTCAGGATCCCCTCCCAGCTTGTTCAGAGTTAAGAAAGCTGAATTCCTATTTATGTTAAATAGTGAAAGAAATCCAAGAACCACAACGAAACTACAACAGCCAAAACTCCTACACCCCAAACTTCTCCAAATTCTGGTCACTTCCTACAGCCCCTCAGTTTCACCCCACAGCAACAAGCCCTGCCAGAGCCGTGCAACACCTGCTGCTACAGACTGCAATGAACACACCACAAATCCTTGCTTTTTTCCCTTGGAGTTTAATGTGGTGCTTGCAGAAGGCTCAGAACACCAATTTGTGAGGATAAACTCCATTTGAGAGAGAGAAGGTGGAGCGCAGGTAGCCCCGGAGCTGAGGCACCTTCTTGATGCGTGCCAGGATCTGGGAATCCACGGCCTTCTGGTCTGTCTTGCGCTGCTCCGTCAGCTCATATTTCTGCAAAGCACAGAGAACAACATTAAAATCCTGGGAGCAACTGCAGGATCCTTTAGAGAGAGGAGGAATTTCAGGGTAAACCCTGAATTTTGGGATTTTAAAGAAATCTTTCCCCCATTTGTTCTTGATAACGGGAAGGTGGTGAAGCACTGAAGCACTGCTTGGAGCCAACACAGTGACAGCACTTCTTGGTGAAAAAAGACATTTAACTGGAAGAATAACTCTTTCTCCTTTGAGAAAATCCCCACATTTAAAAGGGGGGTTACATCATTTTAATACCACCACCTCAATTTATGACCACTTAAAATCCACCTTTTTTTTTTTTTCCTGCCCATTCCTCCTTTCCAGCCTAGCCTGGAGCACTGAGAAAGAAGGCACAACCCTGTCCCTTACTTCTTTCTCAGTGTCAAAGATCTCTCCTTCCTGGTGCTTGGGCTTCCTCAGCCTCTTCTTCTTGAAGTAGGAATCCGTGAGATGCTTGGGAATTTTCACCCCAGTGAGATCCACCTTTGTGGATGTGGCAATAACAAATTTCTGGTGGGCCCTGCGCAGAGGGACACGGTTCACAGCCAGGGGGCCTGAAGGGAGAGAAGACAAGAGAACAAGGTCAGCTTTTCTGATGAAAACCACTGCCTTGAAGCTGAATTTTTTAGTCTATGTGATGACCAGTTCCTTCAGTTGTCTGCAGAAAACAATCTCAACTCAAAGCTCTCTAGAAATACAAAAATCTCCCTCCTGAGCTCTTCCAGGTAGTCACATACTGAAGCTTAATCTCCCCTTCACCTCCCTGCAAAGTCGCAAATGACAGAATCATTAAGGTTGGAAAAGATCTCCAAGATCAAGTCCAACTTTTCACAGATCACCACCTTGTCAACTACAGCAGAGCACTGAGTGCCACATTCAGCTGTTCCTTGGACACCTCCAGGGGTGGTGACTCCACCACAAAATGTGATTCCCCACTGATGTGCCAAACCAAACATGCAGATCTGTTGTGCTACTGACCCCAGAGACAAACTTGAACTTAAAAGACCCAAAGAACTGCCCAGAACAAAACCACCATGTTTAAATAACATTTTTACCTGTAACAAGCAGAAGGCCAGTATCAAGCTGCTTCAGGAACACAACACGCTGTAAAGAAATGAGATGGGACATCAATCCTCAGTCCCAGTGCTCCCACACCACAGCCAAACTGGGACTGTGCCTCTGTTACTGGTACAAGCAGTGACAGTCCAGGTGTGGGTCAGCTGTGCCACCTGTGGAGCTGCCACCTCGTGATCCAAGCTCCAGCACTTCCAGGTGCCTCCTCTCCAACCAAGTGTGCTCTCCATGAGCTTTATCTCTCAAGGCTGAGCAAAGCCAATTACTCCAGTTTTACTCTTCCCCCATCCCACAGGATGGCAAGAACCATCTCAGCACCCAAATCCTTTGTGTGAGTTACAGGCAAGAATTGGATAAATACCACAAGGACTCTGTAACTCCACACAGTCAGAGCCATTCCCCCGTTGTGTTTTGTTCCTTCTGGTCAAGGACAGCATTCTTTATGGAATCATGAACATCAAAGACAGAGAATTTAAGAAAATAAAGGATACCAGTTGTGCTGGTGACCATCCTGAGGATGGAGAATATAACAATCTATTATACCCTAATAATTAGATTAAGAATGAAACTCCGATTTTTCTTTTGCAGTAACTGCTGTAGGACAAAGTTTTGTCCTTGTAGGAGCAGCAACAGAAACAGGCACTGGCTCTGCAGCAAAACTCTTTGCATTGTGTCCAACCAACTGGCTGAGCCCGTTTTATTTCCAGCTCTGCTCAGAACAACCTTAATTTACAAACACTTCACCCCTGCCTCCCCTGAAGCTGGACAAGGAAAACACCCAGACAGAAGGCACAGATTTACACCCAGCTGCCCAGCTGGGAGATTCGGGGTGTCTGGAAGGAGCAGGAGCTGTGCCCACCTTGCCGCGGTGCCGGCCGGTGAGCAGGATCAGCACCGTGCCGGGGGTGATGGAGGCGCGCAGGCGCCGCTTGTGCTCGCAGAAGGGCTTCTTGCCATGGCTCAGCAGCTTCCGGGGAACGTCCTCCGTGGGGTAGTACCTGGGCTGGGAACACAGGACAAGCACCTTGTACCACCCCTGTGTCCCACAGCACAGCAGCTCCTCACAAAGGGCGTCCCTATCTGCCTGAAGTTCAGCTTGTCTGAGTTCTGCTCGGACACTGCTTGGGAACATTTTACATCCAGCTCTGTATTTATGTGTGCTCCCACCTCAGAGAATTCCCACCCGAATTCCCACCCCCTCCCACAAACGCTGGGTTTGTGCTCACAGAAAGCCCAGCACAGGCTGAGGCCCTACACCACCCCAAGCCTAAAGCCCCAAACCACGAGCATCCCGGTGCTCTTCCATACCATCTTCCGGATCTTAACCACCCGGCTGCCTCCATTCTTGTCTCCACCCACTGGCTTAGTGATGGTGGCACGGGGCATCTCCTTCTTCTTCTTCTCTATCTGCATGCAAACAGTAAGGAAAACTCAGCACGTTTCGAACCAAAGGCACCAGATAAACCCCATCACTCCCCCAGTGCTGCCCACCCTACCTTTGTCTCTGGGGCCGTGTACTTGCGCTTGTACAGGGCTTTCCTGGCGTACATGGCAGAGCGGGAATACCTCCCGATGCCCCGGGCCAGCACGGGGTTACGGCTGGCATGGTACTTCTTCACCCTCTTCTTCTTGTCCCCTGCAGCTTTCTGGCTTGGCTTCTGCTCCGCTGGCTTCTTGTCCCCTGCCTTCTTCTTGGCCGGCTTCTTCTCAGCTGGCTTCTTCTCCGGCGCCTTCTCGCCCGCCATCTGCGGTCACAGGCAGCAGGGTTTAGGGCTCGTTACACAGCACAGAAAATAAAAATAAAACAATCCAAACCACCCGTCACACCTTTCTGGTAGCTGTCAGCCACCTCCTCCAGCCGCAGCTGACCAAGCCCCGCTCCCTGTGCGCCTCCACACCGCTTAAGCTGCTCCTCCGTGCTGGTTACAGCAGCCCCAGCGCACATCCGAGCGCTGCTCGGTGGGAAACCCGAGCACACGCGAACACATCCCGAGCCTGCAGCCGCCTCTGCCCCGGCACCGCAGCGCTGCCGGGCCCTGCCCCGCGGCCTCTCCCGTCCAGCCCCAGCCCAGCTCCCGGGAGGCTCCTGCGGCCTCCGCATCCCGCCGCGGCCTGCCCGCTCGGACGGGCGGCACTCCCGCTCCTCCCCACCCCCGCGCCCATCCGGGCCCCTCCGCCGCTCCCCGAGGCTGCCGGGCCGCGCCTGTGACTGCGGCGGGGCCACCAGCGGGCGGATGGCGGCGGATGGAGCGCGGCGGGCCCGGCACCGATGGCAGCAGCTCCGCCATCCTCACCTTCCGGGGGAGCAAAAGGGACTCACATCCGGGTGCGCGGGCTAAGGACAGCGCGGCGTGTGACGTCAGCGCGCCGCGCGGGGCACCATGGGACTCGTAGTCCGGGACGGTCCGCGCCGCCCGGGGCAGCCCCGGGTCACCAGCGAGGGGGACCCCGGCTTCCGCTGCCGGCGGTGCGGGGCCGGGGCTGCTCCCTGAGGGCGGGCTGGAGCCCCGGCAGCGCCCACCGCGCCCGCTCCCGGGGGATGTCCCCGCTCCCGGAGCCCGCTCCCTCTGTTCCCGGGGGATTGTCCCCTCCCGGAGCCCCCACCCCGCCCGTTCCTGGGGGATGTCCCCGCTCCCGGCTCCCTGTCCCCGCTCCCGGCTCCCTGTCCCCGCTCCCGGATCCCTGTCCCCGCTCCCGCAGCCCGCTCCCCGCTCCCGCAGCCCGCTCCCCGCCCGTTCCCCGCGGAGCCTCCGGGGCTGGCTGGCTCGGGTGGATTCGAGTCTCTCGCATCCACCGGGAGCTGCCCCGGTGCCCCCGGTTTGGGGGGGCTCAGTGCGTGTCCCCATGGAGCCGAGGGAGGAATTGTTGCCGAGGGCCAGCAGCGCTGGTTTACCGAGCCTACAACACGGCCCGGCTCCAAAAGAAGCCTTCCTGAGCTCCCACCTGCGTTCTTAATCAGTTACCAGCCTTCACTCTCGTTTCAAACCCTTGTGGCGCTGCCAAAGCACGACGACAAGCAGCCGAACCCATTTCTTTGTTGTAGCTTCTCACCGTCCTTGATGTTTGTCAGATACCCAGTGTCCTTTTGGGCCCAGAGATTTGGGTGAGCGTTAGGCTTTAGGGGAATTATTGCCATAGAAAATGCTATAAATGTATTTATCCTTTTAAGCAGACCTATTCTGAGATTCCCAGAGTGGTTTGGGAATTCCACCCCCTTCCACACCTTCCACTATCCCAGCTTGCTCCAAGCCCCAGCCTGACCTTGGACTCTTCCAGGGATGGGGCAGTCACAATTTCAGTTTATTCACCTCTAGAATACCTGTTAAATTATAATTTCTCCAAGGTTGTCCTCTCTTTTCTCCTCAAGATGGTGAATTGGTTTCAATCCATGGCCATTTCTAGTAGGATTTGGGGTTTTTTGACCTGTGTGGAGGTTCTTTATGTTGTGTTCTCGGGTGTCCCTGCTCACACTGGGAACAAGGCTACAAGTTACCTTTTGGCAACACCGTGAGCTTCCTCCTTGCCAGAACAATCCTGTTACTTGTGAGGGAGACTGAAAAAAGCTGGGAAATATCAACTGATGAGCCTATAAATAGGAGTAATTAAAGTACCCGTCAGCACATCCCCGGTGCTGTGGCTGTGACAGCTGAGACAGAACTGATTTCATCTCTCCTTTGCTCTTGCAAAGGTGATTGAAAAACCCAATCACTGCATGGAAAATTATATTGATTTATTTCTTTGGGTTTGGTAAGAGAGAAATGTGCTGGCAGTGTGTGACTTGGGGAGCACAAATCCTGCTGGACCATGATAGCAAAAAAGGGATAATTGTGGGAAGGATGAATTTTCCACCATGGGTTTTGTTTTTTTTTTTCATCAGAAGGTTCCTTGCTTTGCTGATACCCCCTTGGTTCTGAGCCCTTTATAAACGAACCCCTGCTGCTTCACTGCTTCCTTTCTTACCCACATTTCCACCTTGCTGTGAGCTAATTATGGGCTGGCCGTGGTGTATTCCAAGCCCCTGAGTGGGAATTGCTGCGGGAGGGATGGCGAGGAGCCGCTGGGACGAGGGCGTGGGCTTGGGTGACTTCTGGGATTGCATTCACTGCCCTTGGCCGGGCCAGCTCTGCACCTGCTGCCAGGGACATGGGCAGGGAAAAGAGGACAAAAAGCCCAAAATGCATTCCATCCCTATAAAAGGAAGCGTGAGAGCAGGTCCTGGCTGGGGGGGGTGTCACTGGTGAGCGCTGGCCCTTGGCTGTCCCCTCCCAGCCTGGGAGGGCTGCAGCAAAGGTTGGGAGCACAGGGGATGGCAGCACTTCAAGGAGGATCCTCCCGGAACCGCTGGCAGGGATCACTGACACCCCCATTCTGCTATTTGGGGTGCCTGACAAATGCAGCTTCCTACTCAAAGCCAAAAATACGGAGCTGAGGGAGCAGGAGGGCGAGGTGCCAGCAGAGCCAGAGTTACATAAAGTACCAGAAACCCTCCCAGGTGTAGCTTGGCTTTGGTGCACTTGGCTCTTGGCATCTCTGTGTGGATGTGGGAGAGAGATTTTGGGGGTTTGAACCATCTACTGTGTGTTTAACCTCTCCTTTAAATGCTGGTTAAATACAGGTTATTTGTAGTTACCTCTGTACATAAATTATTATTTTTCCTTTGCTGTAACAGCTCATGTATAGCTACTTCCTTAAAGTTCACAGTGGGATACAGAAGATATTCCATTGGTTGAAGTTTATGGAATGTCAATATAATAAATCTGGAGAAGCAATTCCAATAATTTCTCCTCTGCCTGTTTAGACATTTTTTGCTATAAACTCCAAAATTTACCAAGATTTCTCTTGAATCCTGTGCATATTTAAAAAGCTTGCAAACTGTTCAAATTACTACTGCACATTTTTTGTTTGGTTTGGTTTTTTACTTTTGTTTTTTTTTTCTCCTAATGGAAGTAAAATTTTGGGAGTGGAAATGTGGCAAATATATGTTCACCTTCTCCAGGCAACCTGTTGTGGGCTGAAATAAGTTATTTAATGTTCAGTTCATCCCAGGTGCTGATGCTTGTGCAGTTTCTTTTTTGAGAACTTTCCTTGATCTCTGAATAATCATTAGATAAACATTATTCATTAGTTCATTCCCATTTGCTGTGATAATTTGGAAGTATTTTTAATAATTTTTTCCATGTCCTGTGCATAAATTTGTTATTTTCTGTGTTGTTCTTCAGTGAATGATGGGGACTATTCACTAGATTTTCATGGTGCAAGTAGAATATTATTAACTATGGGAAAAAAAGATTCACAAGAAGATTCACACAATTTACTTCTGAAATGGATCCTAATTCCCATTTGAATGACTTGCTAGAGATTTGGATTTTCTAGAATTCTAAAAAACTTTTCTGAAGAGAATGCTCTGGAGAAGGCTTTGGTGGGAATATTGGCAACTTTTGAGTGGAGAAGGAATTGCTGCAACAATTGAAATAATAACCCTAAATTTAGACCTGTGCTCTCATATTTTGCTGATTTAGCAATTTAGCCTGAAATGCTGACTGGATCAGGAAGGATCAGGAATGCTGTTCCATTTTTCTGGATATAACACTCCCCTCTCTGTGGTGAGCCTGACTGTGGAGTTTTTGGATATATTTTGTTGTACTTTGGAAAAACCCAGAGGTGAACAAAGAGGAGCAGGCTGGGTTCTTTCAGCGCACAAGAATGAGGATTTAACTCTGAAAATTAAAGCTGATTTTTAATTGCCAAGTGCAAAGGTGACAGAGAAAAATCCTCACCAAGCCCTTTCTTGCAGAACTCCTTCAGGGCTGCAATAAAAATGGGTAAATTCCAGATAAGAGCAGAGGCAGTGGTGACACCGAGTGGCTCCAAATAAGTCTCCAAAGTCAATGCCAGACGTGGGGACACGGAGCTGCTGGCCACAGCCCAGCCCCAGCTCTGCCTGGGCTCTGGGATAGTCATTGAGGGCAGTTTGTGGGTGGTGAGGATCAATAGGAGATTCCTCTGGGGTTGTATTTAAACAGGACAGATCCGACCCCGGCTCCATATCCCTGGGAGGAAGAGCAGTGGGGTGTCCACGCAGGGAGTTCCTTCCTGACCCCCTCAGCTGTGCCCTAAGCCATGAGGTTTTGTTCAGTTTTTTAACCTTCAAAATGTTGTCAAGTGTCACTTTGGATGTTTTGTTTTATTTTTAGGTATTTTTCCTGTTTGTCTTTCGGTTTCTTTGTGTGCTGTGTTTTGCTGGAGTAAGGAAATACCACTTCTGGTCTGTGTTTATGTTGTGTACCTTTGATATCATTTTAATCCAGGCAGTCAGAGTGGGGATAAGTGTAATTCTTATGTTTACAAAAAGTTGCAATATGAAACTAATAATGAACTATTATTTTAGGTGCACAACTCAGTTTGGAAGCTGTCGGATTGCTCTGTGTGAGTTAACTCTGAAAACCTGCTGTTTATTTATTAACATTCTTTATTTTTAACCTCTTGTAGATGGTTTCATCCAAATATCACTGGGGTGGAGGCAGAAAACCTGCTGTTAACAAGAGGAGTCGATGGCAGCTTCTTGGCACGGCCCAGCAAAAGTAACCCAGGAGACTTCACACTCTCTGTTAGGTGAGTTTGGCTCTTCCCAGTCTTGCCCCAGGTTGGTAATGATCTTAATTTGCTGCTGTCCTGTGGGGAAATAGTGGATGAACTCCTTGAAAGAATGCTCTGGTCACTTTTTAGTGTTGTTCACTTTTCCCTCTTCTTTTTCTCCCATTTTCCCTGGAGAGCTTCTCAGATACTTTTACCCAGCTCTAGATTGGAGGGGAGTGAATTCTGATTTTACAGCAGGACAAAAATGCTCAGGGGAAACAGAAATAGGTTGATAATAACATTGCTTTTAGCCCCTTACAAATCCATTTGATAACCAACTGGAAGGAGCAGGGGTGCTGGGAATTAGGGATCCAGCAGGAAATCCAGACTCTCCTTGCACAGGAAAAGTCAGCAAGTTTTTAAGGGCAACTGTGGCTTTTTCAGCTTCCAAAATAGGCCTTCTGTGACAGTTGTCCCCTGACACTGCGTGGTAGGGATGGGGAAAAGACAGCAAGAGGAAGTAGATAAAGGAAAAGGGAAAAGTGGGATTGGTGATAAGGGTTGTGCTGCTTGGATACTTGTGAGATAACAGGCCTTGTGGCACAGGAGTGGATTCCTGCTGGGAGCTGCTCTTCCTCAGTATTAGAGCCTGTGGCAGCAGGCAAAGGCAAATGTTTCCTGAGGGAGAGACCTCAGGAGCTGGTGGGAATTCTGGAGAAAGGAGCAAAGCAGCTCTGCTGAGTCTCCAGAATATTCAGCTCCTCTCACCCTCCACCCGTGTGCTCGTGTGTGGAGTTTTGTGTGGCTCTGTGGGGTTTCTGGTGGGCAGAGAAGCTGAAGCAGAGGAGCAGTAGCTCCATGCTGGAATTGTGAATATGGATCTCTCCACCTCAGCACCACCACATATAAAAGTGATTGATTGATTAATTGATTGATTGATTGATCAGCTGACTTGGGAAGGGGTTTTGTGTCCTGTCTTTCAAATCTTAGACGAACTGGAGCAGTCACCCACATCAAGATCCAGAACACAGGTGACTACTATGACCTCTACGGGGGAGAGAAGTTTGCCACGCTGGCTGAGCTGGTGCAGTACTACATGGAACACCATGGGCAGCTCAAGGAAAAGAATGGAGATGTCATAGAGCTGAAATATCCCCTCAACTGTGCTGATCCCACCTCAGAAAGGTCAGAGAAGTGGTGGGACCTCGATGTCCTTGTGCTTCTTAATAAATTCTGTGTTTATCCCTCTTCACACTCAGCTTCCAGCTGGGAAAAGGGTGGCCACAAACTTGGCTTTGTTTCAGGGTTCCTTGCAAAGTAGATGAATAAATGTGGTTAAAGGTGAAGCAGTCCAAGCCTTTAACTCAGAACTTGAACTCCTCAGAACCTGTTCCCTTCAGCATTTTTCCTTGGATGGGACAGGACTGAAAAAGAGGGCATAATTCCCTTTAATTTTACTGAGAGAATGTTTAATTGGAGAAGTTCTCCTGATGTTGGTGCTGCTGCAAGGAATTCCCAGGGATATTTCTGGGCATAAATTATTGTGCTTTTCCTAGCAGTGGGTAGAAGGTGAAGGCCATACAAATCCTCAGATTCCTCAAACTCCTCTTTTGAGGAGCATGGTTAATAAGGAGAATTTGAGACTCTGGATTTGAGGAAATGTCAGGGGTCAGAACTAAACCAGCAGATACCTGTTTATTCCTAGAAGTGAAATGATGAGGAAAAATATTCAAACAAGTTCTCTCACTCCTCAGAATGCCTTAACAGAGCTGGGGAGGATTGATGGCTTTTTGGCCCTATTTCCTGAAGAATTGGGATTGCTGGGATTATCCTCTCCAGTTCCTAATGGGATAGAAGGGTGAGGACAAGTTTATCAGGAAAGTTTCATGAAGTAAATAAAAGAAGAATGAAGGCCTTGACTGAGGGGAAGGTTGGAGTATAACCTGGTGTTTATTTGGATTATCATGAAGGATCCAAATCAAAGCTTCACTGGAAGCTTGTAGGAAACTCCATGGAAGTGCTTTGAAGTGTTTCTGTCCTCACTGGTGTGCACCTGGACACTTAAAAAGCTTATTTTATTTATTATTTTTACCAACTGAGTAAAACAGCCCTAGACCTGGCTGTTGCTGAGTGAACAGAAGAATTAAATTTCATCATAAACACCCGGAGCAAGTGGATTCAGCTGGAATGCTAAGCAGGGTTTTTCTCTCTATGTCACTTCATTTCCAGGTGGTTTCACGGGCATCTCTCTGGGAGAGAAGCTGAGAAACTCTTGACAGAGAAAGGAAAACATGGCAGCTTCCTGGTGAGGGAGAGCCAGAGCCACCCTGGGGACTTTGTCCTTTCTGTGAGGACAGGGGATGACAAGGGAGAGAGCAACGATGGCAAATCCAAAGTGACACACGTCATGATCCACTGCCAGGTAGGAAAAGCAGGGAATCCACGGGCCCAGGAGCTCTGGATGCATTCCCTTTTCCCTGGGCTTGCTGCAGGCCATCCCTTTGATCAAAATGACTCCTTTGATGGCATCAAAATTCCAATCTTTTTTGGCTGACTGGCTCCTGTCAGGGCCTTCTGGCTCAAATCACACTTTGCTGTGCTCAGGGAGTCTCCTGGATGGATTCTATCAAAATAGGAGTGATTGGATAAATGGAGATCTATGCACAGATGTCTCTCTCCTGTCAGTTCAGGCAGTTACACCTGATGGATGATCAACAGTCTGTGAAAACGAGTGTTCACTCCAAGGAATGCCCTGAAATCTAAATCTTGTATTTAGCATAAGGTAGTTCTTCATTGAAATATTATTGAATTACAGTTTTGATATTTAATCTATCTGTATGGGTTGCTATTTAAAAAATAATCATGGATTTTTTAAAAAAAACATGGATTTTCTTATTTTCTTTTATTTCTATTGTGCCCAAAGGCAGTGTAATAACTAAATTATATAAAAACCCCTAAAATACAGTAACAGAAGTCGTTTGGAGGTAGAAATGGCCCACTAGGACTGTAAATGCTGAATTACCAGAACATATTTATTTTTTCAAGAAAACCTCTCTGATTTGCAGTTAGCATTTATGCCTTTAAGGATAATTTGGCATTTGCTTCCTTAAAATAGGGATGGTGCCAGGCAGTACCAGCCTTTCAGGACCCAGTCACACACTTAATTTTGGAAATCAATTCAAATCCCTAATTCCTGGATTCTCATCCTGTAGCTCCAGAGCTGCCTGAAGCCTGGTTCAGAGGGAATCAGCTTTCTAAAAATGCAGATAACCCGATTTTCAAGGAGATGGTAAAAAAAGGGATGTCCTGCAGCCTGTCTGTGCTATTTATTAAAGTTCTATCCTTTAGCAGAAGGATTTCAGTAGAGCCTTCTACACACAATTTTGGAGGTTATTTCTGATGCAAGGCTCAGCCTGGAAGTGCTGTGCCTGTGGTGGTGGGGAGTGCATTTATTTGGAGGAGCATTTGTCTTTTCAGGATCTCAAATACGACGTTGGTGGAGGGGAGAAGTTTGACTCTCTGACAGATCTGGTGGAGCATTACAAGAAGAATCCCATGGTGGAGACTTTGGGCACTGTGTTGCAACTCAAACAGGTGAGAAGGACAGGCCACCCCTGAGCTTTGCCACCTCCAGGGTATTTTTTTTTTCTGAGGCAAAAAATGAGGTGTTAAACTTCATGAAATGGATGAAAAAGTCATTTCAATGGGAGCAATTATTGTTCGGCTTGTGAGAAGATAAAGTGTTGTCTCTGATGTGAAGAATTTCCTGGTGTCATCCTGGTCTGTAGGAGTTGCAGGGCATGTCCATAAATCAGACAATTTAATGCATTAAATAACTAAATGAGTAATTAAATAAAAACTGTGAGGCTTTAAAAGCAACTGTTCACCATCCCCTTCCTCACTGCCCTTTGCTTGAATTCCAAAACTGACATCCAAAAAGATGCTTGGATCCTAAAATTCCCATTAGAACATCCCTATCTCAGTGGATTTGTGTTTGAGTTGTCTCTCCATGGTTGTTTTTGCTGACCCTGTGCTGTCTGGGGTCTGTCCCCCAGCCCCTGAACACCACCCGCATCAACGCCGCCGAGATCGAGAGCCGAGTCAGGGAGCTCAGCAAACTGGCAGAGACCACGGATAAAGTCAAGCAGGGCTTCTGGGAAGAGTTTGAGGTAATTCCTTACATTCCTAGGAATGTTTCCTCCAGTGTTTCCTCCAGTGTTTCTCCAGAAGCTGACTGTCACACTGCCAAAGTCACGCTGGGTTCTGCCTTCCTGGTGTTTCCTCCTCTCCGTCACCTCAGATCCCTGGTTTTGCTCCCATCTCCAGGGCTTTGCCAGCTCCACTCTTGTGGCTTGAAATGTTTGCCTTTTTCCCTTGATTCTCAGAGTGCTTTTTATCCAGGATATCCTCCTGGATATCCTTCCCACCATGAGGGAGCCTCCTCTGTTTGTCTCACCAGGACAATCCTCCCAATTCCTTCTGCTGTCTGGGAGGTTGGGAACCATTTCTTTAGGGACATTTCCATTTCTCAGTCCATCCATTGCACTTGTCCTTGGGGCTTTTTGATGCTTGTTTCTGAGGATCTTAAAGTCATTGGGAAGTGGTAGAAAGCTCTGGGATGAAACAGCATGGATTATATGCATTTTCCTTGGACTTCTGGAGGTTTATTTTTGGTTTCTTTTGGTGTTTCATTTCTCTCTGCAGGCAAAATCTTTCTTCCAGAAAGAGTGTGTAGGGACATGACAGGGGGAATGACTTCAAACTAGGAGGAGTTTAGATGGGATATTGGGAAGAAATCCTTCCAGAATTTAGAAAAAACTCTTCCCAGAGAAGCTGTGGGTGCCCCATCCCTGGAAGTGTTAAAAACCAGATTGGCTGGGGCTTGGAGGAGGTGGGATAGTGGGATGATTTGGGTTGTGAGGGACCTTAAATCCCATCCTACCCTGCCCCCTGCCATGGCCAGGGACACCTTCCACTATTCCAGGCTGCTCCAAGCCCCCTCCAGCCTGGTCTGGAGCACTCCATGCTGGATATAATGGACTGGTTTATACCTCACACACACATAACCACCAGTGGAGTCTGGAATTCCACCAGCAGATGGCAACAGGAAACTGGGAAGTGCTCAGGGAGCTCCAGACTGGCTGGTTTGAGAAACTTCCTGAATAGTGATGGATTTGCAAAGTGACCATCCTTGGAGAAACCCTCTTTGATGAGAAATATCCATTAACTAATTGTACTGTCCAGTGTGCTCTGATTATTGCCAGGAGAAGGAAAATTAATCCATGAAAAGCGAAGGAATTAGCACAGAGGGGTGTGAGGGGAATATCAGATGGTGAGATGATGGCATTGGGAAACGAAAAAATGAGGATTAAGCTTTCTCCTTTCTCTTTCCAGAGAGAGGGGCAGTCCTTGATCCAGGGCTGCTGAATGGTCACAATGGCCAGAATCCCATCTGGAATGAGAGGGAAGGACGTCAGCAGAGGTCGTGTGTGTGGGAAGGGATTGTTGGTTTGGCAAAATACAACTGAGCCATTAATTCACAGTTCTTTCCTGACCTCTGCTGCACGTTGAAGAAATTTTTCTTGGAGTGGATTTCTCAGTGTGGCCTTAGAAGCAAAGTGTTTTCCTTACAGAAGGAAAAGTCTAGAAGGAAAAACAAATCAATGAAGGATTTTACCTGTGGGACATTGCACTTCTTTTCCCTTTGCTGCTGTCAGTGAGGTCAGCACTAACCCTCATTTTTTTGGGAATGAAGCCCTCTCCTAGCAGTTTTAGTGCCCTCTTTTCCATTCCCCTCAGGGAAGCTCCAGCTGTCCCCCAAGGTGGCAGGAGGGGGGAGCACACTCCAGGTTGTCCATGGATCCCTGTCTGTGCTGTTCAGGAGCTGCCAGCCCAGATGGTGAATTTAAATTACTTGTCTCCAGGCAGGAATGAGCCTCTTGTCCCAGGAACCACCAGACAGGAATGCTGACAGCCCTTGTAGTGTTTTTCCTTCTGAAAAATGGTTATTTCTGAGCTTAGTGCTGGGATGTTGCAGTGAAGTGGAGAATATTCAGATTTATGGTTGTGTTGTTCCAGCTCTGAATGGGCTTGTTGGGAGTCGCTGCTGCTCGTGGATCTCTCCTCAGGGATGCTCCAGCAATGATAATTAACTCTAGGAAGGAAGATGTGGTTTCCACACACATTTAATTGCTCCAGTTCTTTGACTTGCTGGGAAAGTTTAGCTCTCAGTCCTTTTGCCTGGAATTCCACAGGCAATGCTTTGGGGGCTGTTTCCTGCCCTTTGTCACAAGCTTGAAACTTTGCATCTCTTCCATTTCTTTTCTTTCCCTGGCTTTAGGATCAGCCTAATTATCCAAGGTCATTAAGTGAGGGAGTATCAGACTGAGATAGGAGTGAGCAAATGTGCCAGTTAAATAACAGCAAGGGTGTGGAGGGTGGGAATGATGAGGGGAACAGCTTCCAAAACTTGAGTGTTCCTTTTAGTGGGGCCAGAAGTGCTTTGGAGGTGAAAACTTGGAGCAAAGCATGGGGATCCTGGTGCCTCCAGCTCCAGGGAGCTTTGGGAGTGGGGAGATTTGCCATGAACAGCCTGGCTGTGCAAGTATTGAATTGCTGCTGTCCCTGGGACATTGTGTTCCAGAAATCCCCACTCCAGCTTGCTCCTTCACTGGGATAATTTATGGGTAACCCATTTGTAGTCACCTAAAGCCCCTCTCCTCCATTTCTCTGGGAGAAGGGATTGCTGTGAGCATGGGCCAGTCCATCCTGGCTTTTTTGAGCCCCCCTGTTTGTGCTTTCCCCTCAGACCTTGCAGCAGCAGGAATGCAAACTCCTCTACAGCCGTAAGGAAGGGCAGCGCCAGGAAAACAAGAACAAAAATAGATACAAAAACATTTTACCCTGTAAGTATCGACCCTTCGTTGCCATTTAATGTTACTCTGGTTTATTTGCCTCATTAATACAGGGTTAATTAAATACCACTGGCCTTTGGCTTCTCTTTAATGATAATTTCCCCTCTTATCAGGATTATCCCATGATTTCCAATTTGGGTTCACACATTTGTACTTTGTAGATATTTGTAATATTGGCTTTTATCTTCATTTAAAAGCCTCATAGCCCTCAACTCTACAGTCTGGAATACTAAATTTAAGAGGATTAATTTGGGGGACAGAACTGCAACATGCAAATCCCAAGGCTTTGCCTTGACTTGGTGTTTGAGTGTCCCTGTGTTCCTGAATTCCCAGGACATGGACACGTTTTGGTCCAGCTGGTCACAGCCACTTGTTTAAAGGAAGCAAAACAAACAATTTGGAATATTCTGATCACTCATTTACTAAGTTTGATAGTTAATTAATAGCTGCTATGTGGTCACAGCTGTGGAATGCAAGTGCTTGACATCCATGTGTATTTTTGCAGTTGATCACACCAGAGTTGTTCTCCACGATGGTGATCCCAATGAACCTGTTTCAGACTATATCAATGCTAATATTATTATGGTGAGTGTATTGCCACCTCCTCTTCCCTAAATCCAAGGAAACCTTGGATTCCCTTGTCACACACAATGTGTTGAATTGCTGATTTTTTCCGCCTCTAGCCTGAGTTTGAAACCAAGTGCAACAACTCAAAGCCAAAAAAAAGTTACATTGCTACCCAAGGCTGCCTGCAGAACACGGTGAATGATTTCTGGAGGATGGTGTTCCAGGAGAATTCCCGAGTTATTGTCATGACCACGAAAGAAGTGGAAAGAGGAAAGGTAAAACCAGGCTCCAGCTGGCTTTGGGAAAGGCCCTGACATTTGAGTACAAGCAGGAGCTGAACTGACAGGGATAAATTGATTTATGGCTGGAATCTGGTGTGGGGCAGGATTCCCTGGAGCTCTGGAAGGTGCTGAGTGTCCTTTCTTGTTGGTGCCTGTGGGAATTGGGGATAGATTCCTGACACATCAAACCTTCCTTTCTTAAGGTTTACCTGATGAAATTTAACTGCTGAATGTGAATCTCTGTATTTCAAACTTAGGGAAGTAGGCACTGGGATGGGAGATGTGGCCAAGCAGAATTCTGGGTGCTTGAAGGCAAAAATTCCCTGCTCCTGCAGCAGAAGTCTTGGCATTTATTTTATCTCATCAAGCCTGTATGGACCTCCCTAAAAAAGCAGAATTATGGGATTTGATTATTACAAAACTGAACACAGAGGTGTTGCTTCTTAGCTGGGAAGTGCCCTGGCAGGATTTAATGCTCTCAGAGAGGAATTTTCCCTTCAATGGTGTATCCCAAAAATCTCCCCTTACCTTTGGAGTACAGGAATCTTGTCTTGCTCCCTGGCCTCTGGCAAACCTGGGGATATTTTAGTTTGTTTCTGGTTTCTAATGATACAAGGCAGGAAAGAATGGGAATAGTTGAACATTGATATCCTGGCAGCAGCCACACACAGCCACCTGGGGATTGTAAGGATTTATCTTTGGGATTTGTTGTTTCTGATCTTTTTTCTGTTTCATACACACTGCCTCTTCCCTCTCCTTTTCTTTTAAAGTTTCTCTGTTTCTTCCACACACTATTATCCACGTTTTTACCTTTTTTCCATATCCTCATTGTCTGTTTCTGAATAGAAAGCTGTTGCCTTTTTAGGGGAGCATCACTTGTGGAAAAAAATCAAATTAAGATCTGAGGTTTTTCTGTGGGTGACTGATGACTGCAGGGGTTCCTCACCCCCAGAAACTTTGTGTGTGTGGACTGAAGACAAATAACAGAAAGTTTTACAGGATTCTCTCCCTAATTAAGGTGACAAAGCTGCCAGTGGTGCTGTTTGTTGGAGCCATTAGACTTTGTCTTGTGTATTTTTTTTAGTCTTTGACTTTGCCTTGTGGATCTTTTTTTAGTCTTTGCAAAGTTCTGCCACTTCATCACCCTGATAAAGGGACAGGATTTGTGTTTCCTTCCCAAGACTTCACTGAAGGAGGCAGAAGCTCCCCCTTCCCAGTTATAATCTTTGTTTTGGAAGAGGAGAAATAAATTATGGAATTGTTTTGGCAGAGTTGACTTGAATACACCTTTCTTCCTTCAGGTTATTTATGATTTTTTTAAGAACCTCCTGAACGGCCTCTGCTGCTCTGCAGTTGCTCCATTTTTCTTCCCAAAGTTTGCTCAGCCTTTTTGCTGCAAAAAACACTTTAATTCATCAGTGCTGCATTGCTTCTTCTTTCTGTACCCTTGATTGTTTTGTGATGCCTATTTCACTTCTTACAGAATTGCAAATACCAGTCCTGATAGCAAATCAAAGCTTTTTTATCTCGGGCCAAGCTGTTTGCAGGAAGAGAGAGCCCTTTGCAGCAGAGCTGCCTCCATAGCCTGAGGAAGGGAGGAACTGTGGAACATCCCAGCCCTGCATCAAGTCCTGGATATGCTTTAAAGTGCAGAAGCAGCAAATCCTCAGAAATTAAGGGAGTTTTGGGGTTTTGGAGGCAGTTCAGCAACCCTTCCAGCAGAGTAAAGCCTATTTTAATGTCACGTTGCTGTTCAGACTTGCTCTACCAACTGCTCAGACCTCTGCATTGAAAACTGCAAGTTATTTCTGTTGGCACCCCCCAAAATCAGTGTATTTGCTTCAATTTCAGAGTATTTGCTTCAGTTTCTCCCCTTGTGACAGGGAAAGAAGAGCAAAAATAGCAGAAAAGCATCTTGTTGCCTACGTGGGCATGTGTTCAGCCATCTTCCTCTGCCTTGGGCTGGCAGGAGGAGCTTCCCTGTGCCATGTTTTTTCCTGGATATTCAGAATAACTGCAAATAGACCCTCTTGCTCTGTAGGACTTGGTGTTTGGTCTGTGTTTGCTCTTGCTGGAAGCTGCTCCTGCAGTAATTTCTGCTTTGATGCTGCATCCCAGGAGTTGCTCGTTCCTGACCTCTCCAAATCCAAGTGCTGATAGGTGAATCCATTCCTCAGTGATGGAATTTATCCCTGGACAAAGATAATCCTGATGGAGCAGCAGCACACCAAAAACTCTGCATTTTAGAAGCTGCAGACCATGAACTACTCCCTTTACAGGAGATGGAACCAGAGCTGTGTCAGCCCTTCCTGCTGCAAGCCATGGAAAAGCAAATATCCAAGTTTTATTTCCACTGGCAATGATTTATACCTTTGACCTTTACTTCTTTTGCAGCCTGTAGGGTTTGGGCTGTGGGACTGAATTCTGATGGAATTCTGTATTTTGAGATCTGTGTCTGGGGTACAAAAAGCATGATTTTAATCTCCAGGTTTTGAAAATATCCAGGCACAAAATATCCCAAAATGTGCTAAGAGGAGAGGTGGCCTGTACCTGTCTGAAATTATCCAGTGGTTTTTATGGAGAGAAGAAACTTCCCATTCAAATTATCTTTACCTCATCAGCTGATTGTCCTCTGTGGACTCTGAAATAAAAGCTTCAGGGTTTAATTAACCAGTTTGCAAACCAGCCTTTTTTTCCTGCCTGATTTTTCCTTTTCTTTCTGTTGTTTTTTTTTTTTTTCTTTTTTAATATATAATTTGAAATCTTGCAGAGTAAGTGTGTCAAGTACTGGCCAGATGAATATTCCCTGAAGGAGTACGGGGTGATGCGTGTCCGGAACGTGAAGGAGAGTGCAGCACACGATTACACCCTGAGAGAGCTGAAACTTTCCAAAGTTGGCCAGGTGAGTACAAGAGGAACTCTGTCCTTTTAGCTCAGCTCGTGGATCACCAAAGGAAAAATGTTAGGATTAGCCCATTTCTCTGGAATCAATAAAAGCACTCGGAGATGAGGAAATGGAGCCCTGCCTTTCTTTGAAGCTCCACGTTCAGTTCCATCCATCTTTCTCTTTGCCCTTGGGATAATTGAAGATTCTCCTGCCTAAGCAGCTTTTGGCAGGAGAGGAGCTGCTGCAGAGCCTGCAGGGAATCAGGAGGAGGGGTAATGCTTTTAACTGAGGACACTTCAATCCAGCCAGGCGTTTGCTCCCTCATGGAAATGGTTGCATTGAAAGGAAAAGTTGTGTGGGGGTTTAGGGTGTGGAAAATTCACTTAAGGGAAGGGATAAAAAAGGTGAGAAAACTGTGTGGAAATGGCACTTCCTGTTAAGGAACAGTTTGGGTCAGGGAGGAGAAGCAAACCAAGGGAATTGGGGATAGATTCCTGTCACATCAAGCCTCCTTTCCTTAAGGTTTACCTGCTGAAATTTTAGCTGCTGGATGGGAATATTTCAAACTCAGGGAAGGAGGCACTGGGATGGGAGATGTGGCCAAGCAGAATTCTGGGTGCTTGAAGGCAAAAATTCCCTGCTCCTGCAGCAGAAGTCTTGGCATTTATTTTACTTCATCAATCCTGGATGGAGTTCCCTAAAAAAGCAGAATTATGGGATTTGATTATTACAAAACTGAACACAGAGGTGTTGCTTCTTAGCTGGGAAGTGCCCTGGCAGGATTTAATGCTCTCAGAGAGGAATTTTCCCTTCAATGGTGTATCCCAAAAATCTCCCCTTACCTTTGGAGTACAGGAATCTTGTCTTGCTCCCTGGCCTCTGGGATGTTTTACTTTGGGGGATTTTAGTGACTGATGTGCCAGGCCAGGGAGAGCCCTGACTTGTTCCCTCCTTTGGGATTTGTGGAGCTGTGGGTGCTGTGCTCAGGTTGGGTTTGGGGGCTGAGCTGTGCCCCGTGAGGAGCTGGGTGTTGAGCAGCAGGCTCTGTGTGCCTGGTGCTGCAGGGGAACACGGAGAGGACGGTGTGGCAGTACCACTTCAGGACCTGGCCCGACCACGGCGTCCCCAGCGACCCCGGCGGCGTCCTGGACTTCCTGGAGGAGGTGCACCACAAGCAGGAGAGCATCCCTGATGCAGGACCTGTCGTGGTCCACTGCAGGTGAGGCTCCTGCCACTCCTCCTTTTGGCCCAGGGGGCTGAGACCTTTAAAAAGAACAACTTTCCCTGGAAGTTGCTCCAAATTCCCTGTTTTCTGTCTGTACAATGTCACATTCTGGGTGGGTGGCACAGAGAAGGGATTTCAGAGTGGGAACCTTTGGATAAATGAGAATTTTTGCTGTTGGGTGAGAAGATGGGACCTGGCTGGAGCATTCCAAGTGCAGGATCATGGAAATTCTGGCATCTAATCCCACCTGTGAGCGCTCTGTCCTTTTTGGGTGTTCTCACCTTGTAAATGAGATTCTTTTTAGGCAAGGAAATGTTAGATCTGACCTTACAGTTTTTTTTTCTGATTCAGGGGTGTTTATAAACACTGAGGGACAGAAGTGCTGATTTCTGTGCCTTCCCTGAGGTCTGGTTTGACTCTGGCTGTATTTTAGAAGCCCCTGGCTGTAATTTGGAAGCCTCCTGATGCCAGAATTCCTTTGGCTGGGGTTTTGCTGTGCATTCCGAAAGAGCAAAACAATGAAATTCCCTTTTTCCCCCCTTCTTCCAGTGCTGGGATTGGTCGAACAGGAACTTTCATTGTCATTGACATCCTCATCGACATCATCCGAGAGAAAGGTACCTTTAACCCTTTGATTTCCCTGCCTGCTCATGGATCCACCCCAGCAGTGCTGCTGGAGGATTCAGGCGAGCTCCACCCTCACCGTGGCTCTTTCCCTGCTCTTCCCAATGCCCTGGATGTCCCCAGGGGTGGACTGTGACATCGACGTCCCCAAGACCATCCAGATGGTGAGGTCCCAGCGCTCAGGGATGGTGCAGACAGAGGCCCAGTACAGGTTCATTTACATGGCAGTGCAGCACTACATCGAGACCCTCCAGCGCAGGATCGAGGAGGAGCAGGTGGGTCCAGCCCAAGCATCCAGCAGGAACGTGGCAGGGTTCCTGCAGGGAGCAGCAGTGCTGGGGGTTTGTGAGGGGATTGTGTTGTGGGAAGGCTGGGGCTGAAGGTGTGGACTGTCTCCTGCATTTCAGTTCATTGTGCTTAAGAATTAATTAAATTGTTAGGTGGAATCCTCTCCTTAAAATATCAGGTGGAATCCTCTCCTTAAAATATCAGGTGGAATCTTCTCCTTAAATTTGGTGGTATCCTCTCCTTAAATTATTAGGTGGAATCCTCTCCTTAAATTATCAAGTGAAATCTTAAAACATTGTGTGGAATCCTCTCCCTAAATTGTCAAGTGGAATCCTCTGCTTAAATTAGGTGGAATCCTCTGCTTAAATTAAGTGGAATCCTCTCGTTACATTATCGGGTGGAATCCTCTCCTTAAATAATCAGATGAAATATTCTTAAAACATTATGTGGAATCCTTTCCCTAAAGTGTCAAGTGTCAATTTAAGGAATCCCCTCCTTAAATTAAGTGGAATCTCCTCCTTAAATTATCAGGTGGAGTCCTCTCCTTACAGTGCAATCCTGTCCTTAAATTTCTGAGTGGAATTTTCTCTTTAAAATATTAGGTGGAATTCTCTCCTTAATTTAAGTGGAATTCTCTCCTACCCTCCCTGTCCCCAGATCTCAAATTTCCTTCCTGTTATCAAATTTCCTGTGGAGGAAGAATAAAAGATAAGGGTCTGTTAATTAAAGCAGAACCTCGTGTTCTTTGTGTTTGAAAGAGATTTCAGAGCTTGTTCCCTGCATTCCTCAAAGGGGAAAATCAAATGCTGATCACTCCAATTCCAATTTGGGGAGTTTATTGGTAGGAAATCAGTTTATTGGAGTGGAAAATGAAAGGGTGAGCTTGGTGGTCCAACAAAAAGCACTTCCAGGAGTGTTGTGGGATCAGAAATATTTGGGAATAAGTGGTGACAGCCACAAAGACCTTCCCCTGCCCCTTCCTGTTCAGGGAATTGCCTGCACTCCAGTTCTGGGGGGTTTTACAGCAGTTTCCTGGTTTTGTGATAAAGAGCTGATGTTTTCTCCCTGTCCCTGCTGCTCCCTGCCCTGACCTCAGAGCAGCTGGGATTTGTACCTTTTACTTTCTATGCTAATTAGGCCATATTTTTACTCTTTTTAATATCTTTTTCCCTGCTGGGGACTTTTCCAACCCTTACTGAGTGGTTCCTACAAAATGTCCTTGTGGTCCATCCCACAAATCCTGCCTTCCATGTGCCCACCAATCCATCTTTGTCTCCCAGACTTTGTTCAATGAATCAAATCCAGGTTTGCTCAACAAAACTTTTCCCAAGCTGTGTTCCCACAAACTGCTCAGGACAGCTTTGTCATAAATCCTGGCTAAGAGTGATTTAAGAATCACCAGAATGAGTTTCAGGAGACCATCCTGGAAAAGCTTCAATCCCAGGAATGTTCTTAATGGGAATTCAGGAGCCAGAACTCCCCGGAGGCTCCGCCAGCCTCTGCTGTGAGATTGGGTCATCCCTCAGGACTTGTTGCAGCATTAAAAAACCCCAAATAAACCCACAAGCCCTTCCCCAAACCCCAAATTCTCTGCAAAACTTCATTTCCTACCTTGTAGGTTTCAGTGTTTGCAGGCATTGTGAGCGCCTGGGAAAAGGAAAAATCCATCTCCCGTTTCTTTCCTGGTGTAGTTCCCTGGCAGGATCTGGAGCTGGGTGCCAGCACAATTGGCTGCAGCCTGGAGCATATGTGCAGAATCCAAATAACAGCTTGGCTGCTTTTTATATCAAACCTAATGGGCTCAGATATTATTTTATTAGAGCTCCTGCAAACAACGGTGTTGCTCCGTTGGCCCCAGCTCCGAGCTGGAAATAAGGTCAGTGGGAAGCCCACTGGCTGCTCAAGAATGGAATTGGGAGTTTTCTGCCAAGGAGATGAGGATTGAGTGCATTCAGAGGGTTGGTGTGTTCTGCTGGAGATGGTGGCATGGGGGAAAATGGGGATTTTCAGGTTTGGCCTCACCAAGAGCTGGAGCCAGGTGTGCTCAGGGATGTGCTCCCTGCAGGACTGAGCTCTCTGCTCACAGACAAACCCAAAAAAACACCCACGGGTGGAATTGCTGCACTGTCTCAATGATTGGTTGCTGGGATTAACCCCAAACGTGGCTTTTTGTTGTGTGTTTTGCTTCACAGAAGAGCAAGAGGAAAGGTCACGAGTACACAAACATTAAATATTCGTTATCGGACCAGACGAGCGGGGATCAGAGCCCTCTCCCCCCCTGCACCCCAACCCCAACGTGTCCAGAGTAAGTCCAGTCCTGCCCTCAGTTTTTGAGCTGTTCTGTCTCATCTTCAGAGACCTCAGACGAGGCTGAGTTACCCCGGAACCTGCCCTGCTGTGCTGGGCTTTCCTCTGAAAATAAATCAAGTAAAATTAATTGTCCCTGAATTATGTGCGTGGTGTGTATTATAGGATTTTTTTTTTTTTGTCTCAAATAAGATTGGTGGGACTCTAAATCCTGATTTCATTTCAGAATGAGAGAAGATAGTGCTAGAGTATATGAAAATGTGGGGCTGATGCAGCAGCAGAAGAGTTTCAGATGAGAAGATGTTCAGAGCCTTCCAGGCCAAGGCAGGTGTGTATGGCCAGAGGAGGGGCTGTGTCCAGCCTGGCTTGGGAGAAAATGCACCCAGGAATGCCCAAAATGCTTGGAATTTATCTCCTTAGGGTGCCTGAGTTCCAAAAGCTAATTTAATTTTAATGACCTTTATACACAATCTCACCTTTTACTGCCAAAGCACCCACACAGTTTCTAAGCCAGGGTTGAGACTTCGGGTTGAGTTTAAGCTTTATTAAGTCAAAACTGAGCACTTCTGTATAATGCCTGAATAAGAAACAGCTGCTGGGTTTTTTCCTCAATAATTCTTCATTTTTTTTCCTTTCCCAGACATGAAAATGGTTTTTAAAAAGGTCAAGAAAGAGATGGAAGAAGCTTCACGTGAGCAGTGAACTCTGAGGGCTTGGTACCTTTTTATTTACGGTTTTAATCCTTCAGTAGGCAAAACTTCAGAGCATCTAAAGATTGTTTTTATCTCTTCTCTCCAATTTCCAATTGCTCGTTTTCCAAATAAAAGGAAATCCTTTCTACAAGGTAGACAATTACTTTGTAGAGTCAGTTTTGAATCCTGCAAACTGTTGGACTGTCATCCATTTGTTTTTTTAAATAGTATTTTGGTTTCACAGTATGGCTGTTAGTGGGGTTTTTTTTTTCCTTATTTGAGCAGTTGGGCACTGGGTGGGGGGTGGGTGGTGGGAGAGCAATGCCATGGATAAATCCGTGACATGAAATGTAAAATACTGATGGGAACAATGTGGATTGTTGGAAAACAGTGGATCACCAGCGTGGATAGAACCAAGTGCATGATCAAATTAGTCCTGATACATTTCAAACTCAGACTGAGCTTCCTGGGGTGAGCAGTTCTTGAGATGAAGGTGCTTTTTTTGTGATAATTGGTGGCTTTGATTCCAATTGTGCTGTGTGGCTGGATGGGCTATTTTGGAGGAATTTATGCAAAGTTGCTTTTACATCAAACCAAGTTTCTTTTCCGTGATCTGTGCCCAGAATAGAAATTCCTTGTGTCCTTCAGGAGACTCAAGTGACCTGGGGGTGGTTTGTGAGGACACTCTGTGGTGATTTTTTGCTCAATTAAATGAGACTGAACCATTAGAATTCAGGTGTTAATTAAGAAATTGCAGGATGTTAAACCCAGTAGAACCAGTAACCCAGTGCTGCTGTCAGGGAACCCTCCTGCCCTTGTGCTGGGGGAGTGGAAGCTGTGGAGAACCCCAGGATTTTTAGGGAAGGAGGGATCCCAGGATTCCTGGTGGGACAGGAGCAGCGAGGCCACACTGGGGGCACTGTCCCACCCAAGTGCCTTTGGGAGCTGCCTGGACCTTCCTGTCCCAATGCATGGAAAACCAGCTGGAACCTTTGTCAGGGAGGCAAAGCCTCTTCCAGAGACTCCCCGAGGAAGATCTGGTGAGCTTCCATGTAACTCCTTCCCCTGCTCTGTGCTGCACCAGCAGCTCCCCTTGGAGCTGTGGATGGCAGGACCAGGCCCAAGGAGTGGGGCCTGGGGTCTCCCCAGCACCTTGGCCCTGCTTTTGGGGACATTCTGGGACTTCAGGGGTGTTGAGGAGTGATTCCCATCCTCACACAGGATGCCTGAGCTCCCTGTGTCTCTGGAATGGGGTTGTTTGCCTTCCTGGTGGAATTCTGCTGGAGCCTGGAATGTAATTCCTGCAGCTTTGTGAGAGGTGAAGTGGGAGATGCCATCACCTGTTCCTCAGTGCTTTGCAAATTCCAATATTTGATCAGTTTGTTTGGACTGAATGAAGGTGCTTCATTAATATTAAGCAGAATTTTGTTCCTTGGCCTCTTGTCCTTTTTGTCTTTTGGGACTTGATTTTTTGGAACTCCTGTCACCAGCACACCATAAATGTGTTTGACTGTCACAGCCTTATGCTCTGGCCCTGGATCCTTGTGCCCTTCATGGATTGGAATAGATGATGGGGAGAGAGAATTGGGGTGATTTGGTAGTGAGATTCCTGTTCTGCATCCCCTGCCAGCCTGTCCCTGTTCCCAGCTCCCTCCTGCCGAGCAGGGAGCACTTGGAAGTGTTGACATTTGCATGGAGTAATTAAATCTTTGCCTCAAACTCAGTGCAGAGTCAAATTCTGCACTTCAGAGGTTGGAGCAAGGTGGGGACACACCCCGGTGGGGTTTGGAGCTGCTCTGCCCCAAACTGGGAAGTTCAGGGGGGAAAAGTCAGGAGAAAGGGGAAGGATCCTGAGGGAATCTCAACTCTCTGCACTCAGTTCATGTGAAGTGTCTTAAAAGCTGGACCGGTGCAAGCAGCAACCAGCACAACGTGGCCTCCTGACCTGGCTCAGAGCCTCTGCAGGGTTTGATTTGGAATTGTTCTCCTCGGGAGCAGGGAGCTCCTGCTGCAGAATGTGTGGGAATCCTGGGGAGCACATGGTGGGGGAATGGCAGTGAGGGGGGAGCAGGAGCTGGAAGATTGTGACTAAAGGAATAAATTCTCCTTTCTGAACCTCTGGTGGTGCCCCTGCACCCTGAAATCTGTCACCAGAGACAGGGAGGGTTCTGAAATTAAAGCATCTCCTGCATTAATTCCAGCAAATACCTTTGGGGTTCTGGCAGATGAAGCACCAAAGAGAAAATCCTTTGGTTCAGGGGAGATCAGTGAATGGGGTTCAGGGATTCCCAGCTTTGGGGAATTCAGGTGGAAGCAGTGCTGGCTGAGCTTGTTCTGGAGCAGGGATGGAAGAGGGATCCCAGGCTTCTCTTGGAGAAGCCTTTGTCCCACGAGGGAAATTCCCCCCAACTCCCAAGGCACAATGATTGATGCCAGTGTGAATTTGCTGCAGACTTCATTTACTGAATGTTTTAGAGAAACACTTTAATTACAGCTAACTCCTGTTAGGCCTGATTGGTTCTATTAATCCTGACCAAACTTTCCTTCTTTCCTCCTAAAAGATGTGTTTGAGACACGATTAACCAGGACACAGCTAACAAAGGTATCCAACCTGTTCCCTTTTTTTTGTTGTAGGGCTGAGGAAATTTGCAGCTGGGACTAAGATGTGTTGTCAGGGTTAGATTTTCTAGCCATAACTCCATTATTTCAAATTAATTGTTCATTTCTCCCTTTTCAATAGCGAAAGGTAATGAATAATTTCAAGCCTGTTTATTTATGACATTACTGTGATTTTTTTTTATTGCAGTACTAAAGACTAATGAAAAAGGATCTTATTAGGTGGAATAGGCCTTGCATTTATTTTTTTTCCTGCAATGTATGAAGTATTGTACCAGAGTATTAAATGAAATGTAATATTTTATTGCAAAATTTCTATCCTTTAGAAGGAATACATTTAGGATGTCATCAATTTGATGTGAATCATGTAAATGTTGAGAAATGAGCTGTTTATTCTACATCTGGTGTTTCAAAAAGATTTCACCTCTTGCCTTTTGCCCACAGTCTGTAGCCCATTTGCAGTTGTCAAAATGTGACATTAAATAATAGTTCCTGTATAGAAATAGTGGTGGTTGTCCATTGTTTTCTGGGCTGGTATTTATGGGGTTTAATTCAGTTGCAGTGGGTTTGGTTTGGTTTTTTTTAATTGCTGCCAAGCTGTGTTATCAGGAATAAACCGTATCTGTAAACAGCAGAAATTCCATTTAAAAAAAAGGGAAAAAAATTAATTCAAAATAGAAAAAAAAAAAAGAAAATAAATAAAAATCATTTTCTTACCATGATTTGTCAGTCCCTGTGTTCTCCAGCTGCAGGCACCAAGGATGGGACATTGGGAAGAAATTCTTTCCTGGGAAGGTGGGGAGGGGCTGGGATAGAATTCCCAGAGAAGCCGTGGCTGCCTCATCCCTGGAAGAGTGCAAGGCCAGGTTGGGCAGGGCTGGAGCACCCTGGGATGGTGGCAGGGGCTGGAGCTGGGTGATGCTTAGGCTCCCTTCCAACCCTAAGCATGCCAGGGTTCCGTGCTCAGAGCTGGATGGGGCTTGGCCTCTCCTCTTCCCTTTGTGCAGGCTCAGTTGGAGGAAGGAAGGAAGGAAGGAAGGAAGGAAGGAAGGAAGGAAGGAAGGAAGGAAGGAAGGCCAGGCGGGCAGGGCTGGAGCACCCTGGGGTGGTGGCAGGGGCTGGAGCTGGGTGATCCTTAGGCTCCCTTCCAACCCTAAGCATTCCAGGGTTCCGTGCTCAGAGCTGGATGGGGCTTGGCCTCTCCTCTTCCCTTTGTGCAGGCTCAGTTGGAGGAAGGAAGGAAGGAAGGAAGGAAGGAAGGAAGGAAGGAAGGAAGGAGAGAGATCCTGTTCTTTCTCTCTCCACATCCCACTCAGCACAGCCAGCTCTCCTGGGCTGAGGGAGAGGAGCTGTTGCTCCCTCTCCTGCTGCTCCTTCCTTCCACCTCTTGCTCCGTTTGTTTTGGGGCTCTGCTGTTTCTGAGCTCTTCTTGTGCCAGGCAGGGACCCCAAGGAGGGTCAGTGCTTGCAGCAGGAGCTGGATTCTGTCCCAGGCTCCTCTGCCACCTGCTCCTGCCACACTTCAGAGCTCTCAGCATTCCTGGTCCCTCACACCTGGAGCCAGACACTTCCCCAAGTGTCCCTTCCCCAGGGCCAGAGCAGAGGAGCAAATGCCTGCCCTGAGGTTTTCCAAATCTTACCTCCATCAGGACTGGTTTTTCTGGTTTTTACTTCTCAAATCCATTGGGAATGTTCCCACTAGGGATGTCCTTGCTGTTGTTGATCCCAGAAATCAGCCTGCAGGAAGGGGTTTGAATTCCAGGGAGATCCCACCGAGTGTTGCCTCTCCCCTGATCCCGCATTAAAAACAGAGCTGAAACTTTCCAGGGAATAAATCAGCTCAGCCTGAGCAGTGCTGGTTGAACAGCAGCAGAATCTGGAGTAAAACAAGCTTTAATCTCGTGGCAAAGGCACATCCCAGGGATAATCCAGTGGAAAGGCAGGAAGGAGGCAGAGCCCTGGGATCCAAAGGAGGCAGGAGCTCTGGGAGCAGCAGCTTGGCTCTAAGGAGATTATCCCACAGGGGAAGATTGATTGATTTGTTTTCATGAACACATCCAGCAGTTTGCATCCATCTCTGGGAGTTTTTATAATCCCTGCCAGGGCTGGGGAGGGGAAAAAGGGAAGGAGAGGAGGGAGGGTCTGTTCCAATCTGAGAACTTTGACGAAGATTGAAAGTGATGGTGCTGGGGTGACACTTGGTGTCTCCTGGCTTTGACTCCTGCTTGTGGTGACACTTCCAGCCCTTCCTGCTTTGTGGTGACACTTCCAGCCCTTCCTGCTTTGTGGTGACACTTCCAGCCCCTCCTGCTGCTCCCAGCTCTCTGTGTCTCCCATGTAGGTGAGTATAAATCCATTTATTCTCCCGGCGTTCTCGGTGTTTGTACAAACTGAGGTGATCAGATACTGCTCAAGGACGAGTTTCTTATCTCCCTAAACCCTTGAAACTTCGGCTGACTTTTCTCCAGGATGAATTCTTGCTCGCTTTGGGGTGGGGGAGTTCTGAGTCATGCAGCTTCTCTCCCAGTTGGGGCAGGAAAGGGAAGGTGTCCTTCAATCCACATCTTTGCTGTGACCT